TTTACCGCTCATGGTCAAATTTCTCTTTGTCCATTGTTCAAGCTCATTTTCGAGCTGTATTACTCTTTCATCCCAATTTTTTTGAGTGCAAAGACTTTTGTTATACGCAATGTATACTCCTAGTATTTTGAAAGAATCTCTCCATTGAATATTTCCTGGTTGCTCTTTTTTATTTTTCCATTTTCTGAGCCACATTGCATTAGTTTTTTGTTTATTTAATTTCAATTTTGCTATATTACAAAATTCATCTACTGTTTGCAGACTTCGATCAATGCTGTTAAATGTACTGACGAACAATACTGTATCGTCTGCTAACTGGGATATTTTTACTTCATGTTCGTTATCTTTATTTATTTTTTGGAGTTTAATTCCTTTAATATTGTTATTTTTACGGATTTTAGTAGCCATAATTTCTGCTATAATGATGAATAATAATGCAGACAGAGGACATCCTTGTCTAATTCCCCGTTGCATAATAAATTTTTCGGACATCCAACCGTTATTAATTACACAGCATTCAGTATTTGCATATAATGTTTGTATCCAGCTAACAAAAGAATCGCCGAAATTGTATTTTTTTTAACCTGAAATCGTGAACCTCCTACTTACGCTGTCAAAAGCTTTCTGGAAATCTAATGAAATCAGTGCACCTTCAGCTTCGGTAGCGCATGTATATTCCATTAGGTCTTCGATTAATCGAATATTTTCTCCTCCTAAGCGCCCTTTAATATATTCTTTTTGGTCTGTATCTACTATTGATTTAATTATTTCTTGTAAAATAATCATAGTTAGAAGGTTTGGGTACTAAGTACTTTTCCGAAAAATGAAATTTATTTTAATTTGTTTGTTTATTTTCTCATCTGGATTTTTTTATCTGTATTTTTTTGAACTTTCAATTTTTAGCTTAAGATGTAATTTTGTGCAATTTTCTTGTAAATTTCTCTATTCCATTTCATACTGTAATTTTATTAATCAATTTGTAATTTTGATGTAATTTCTCGCAATATATTTGTAAATTTCTCTTTTCATTTTTATACTGTAATGTTATTTATCAATTTATCTTTCGCTTGTTTGTATTTTTCTATATATTTATATGTATTATAAGACATCCTGTAATTGGCTTCCGCTGTTGGATGATTTTCAAAATAAATAAATAAATAAAAATAAATATCGATCCCGAAATACATGTAGGCCTAGGCTCTATCTGCACTGCAGGGTGTGTGTGTTGTGTTGAGTGGGTGTCTGTGTGTACTGGTGGTCGTGACTCTGCGGCCTTGACCTAGTTAGAGAGGCAGGATTTAATGTTTTTTTCATGGGATTATGTACCAATTATTATAGGCTAGACATATATAAATGTTGACTTAAAACATGTAGTATGATTTACTAACTAAATTAATATACATATATTTTTAAATTTTTCAGCAAACGTGTGAATCTTGCAAGTTGCAGTTACCTTGCTAGAATTCTATGTTCTTTGATGAGATGTAGTAAATCAGCCATAGCCTCTAACATGTCAATGAACCAAGCAAAGTCTTGTTGACTGCTGCCAAGAAAGCTTTACTAGCAATGCTAAATAAATATTAATATTTATAAATTTATATTTACAGTATCAGTATATTAATTTTTCAGCAAACGTGTGGATCTTGCAAGTTGCAGTTACCTTGCTATAATTCTATGTTCTTTGAATAAATGTATTAAATCAGCCATAGCCTCTAATGTGCCAATGAACCAAGCAAAGCCTTGATGACAGCTGTCGAGAACACTTTACTAGCAAAATTCTAAATAAATAAATAATATTATAAATTTATATTTTAGGCCAACTGCAATGTGTAAACAAATGTAAAATTGTTAAATAAAAGTAAACAAATTGATGAAAATTGTTTGATGTTTTCTTCATTTTGTGTAATACTTTCATGTTGCACAGCGCGTCGTAAGGCGTCACAGCGAGTCGCTACAGGAGGCGATCGTTTCAAATTACAATTACAGTCAATATACAAATAAAAACAAAACGTGACAACAAAAAGGAAACAGCAAAAATGCAATTAAAATAGAGAAAGAGAAAAAGTTTTACCTATAATCCCATTTCCTTTCGCAATTTAATAGCTTGTTTTATGAAGGTTGTACGGCCGGCCAGAATAACATTATAGTCAGTAGACTTCATAACATTGATAAAGTTTATATAATCGTTATATTGGTTGAGAGATTTTAGTAACCGCTGGTGATTCGATGGTTTTAAACAAGAATTGATTGATGACGTATGAAACGAAATAAATTGATAACGTCACTTTTTATCTTCCTTAAATAATAAATAATATAAATAATAATAATAATAATAATAATAATAATAATAATAAAACAATTAAATAAATTAAAACTCTAGGAAAAACATACGAATAGGCCTAGCCGTTACTGAATTCACGTAATCTTTATACATCTGTAGTGTATATACTTCGAAGAAATTTTTGATAAGAGTATCAGTTCTGTTTGTTCAAATATATCGAAACAATTCTCTCTTGTCTGCAAGATACAGATAAAAAAAAACTCCTATAGAATGGGTTTCTACAAGCCTATTACCGACTACATAGACTCCAAGATTGTTGAGAAGGCTAAGGCAACTATGCGACGTTTTATGCAGCCTACCAAAAATAGAAAGTTGAAATCGGGCCAAACGTTAGCACATCGTTCACGCCAAATTGTATTCCTGTAGAGAATAGAAAAACTGCCAAACGTATCCAGCTATCGGAAAAGAGACACGTTGCTGTTCATCAATGGTGACCAGTCATGCGTTTGCATCCGAGACTATTACAAAACAGCGGAAGGTGGTGACGTTAAACCAAGTAAAAAAGGCATTAATCTTCCAATCAGTCAATGGTACGAAATGCTAAATCGAGCAGCGAGGTTGAACAAATTTAAGTGGAATTAATGGTGAATGCGGTACAGGATCAGATGAAAACAATAACGGGAAACTTCTTGTAGACACTGAGGCTATTGGAGTTAACCAAATCAAAAAGAACTGTGATACCAATGTAACTGGCTGTATCCATTGATGATAACGTCGAGCATGATTGTCTTGAACATTGATGATAGACAGCCGAATATTCCGATGTTCTTGTAGAACTAGATACATGTAATCAGGGATACTGATTTTATCATCCAAAATTGTGATCAGATCAAATATCTTTACCATTTATCTCACACAGTTGGGGAAGCGTTATATCAGTAATCGACCATAACAATGCGAGGGATTGAAGGAATTATTAAGAGCGTTATGTTAAACGAACACTTAATGCATAAATTTGTATTAATGCAAATTATATGATGATTTTTATATTATTCGTTTGCTAGAAAGAAAATAAATGAAAAGCTATTCCTTATTTCTGAAACAAAACATATGACTCTCTCTGAAGACGATGACGATGTCGACTATGATGGATGGTGATGATAGCGACTATGGTAGTGACGATAGAAGTATCAATTTGTAAAACAAACTTTAAAGCACATAACAATTCTAACATCACTGTAAATATCACACTGACTCATCAAACAATTTGAAATAAACGGTTCAAGGAATTGCCGAACGCAAGACAGTAAAGCACAGTGGAACTAAACAGAATTACTATAACACAAAAACCTTTAAAAAGATGCTCAATTAAAATGTATCAATATTAAAAATGCTATCGTAAAAAACATAATACAAATGAAAAAAATAATGAAAGGAATTGCAGATGTTGGGAGTTTGAATCATTAGAATTAGAAGAGATTTGAAACATACGAAACGTAAGAAAAATATGAAACAGTTATTCCAAAAAAACTGAAAAAAAAGTAAAAATGTAAAATTTATAAACTATTTCTAAACATAATTTTATAATATAAATAAAAAAAATTAAATAAAACAAATAAAGCAAACTCATTTGAAGAAGATATAAATATACGATTACAAAAAAAACCAATATAAAAATTTAAAAAATTTGAGCAATGATAGATTCAAGTAGGTCTGTAAAATATTGAAATAAGAGAATAATTGAAAACACATGTAAACGTATTCATTTGCAATACGAAAATAAGGAATTGTTAAATCTGTAAAATATAAACTTTAGTTAAGTTCTAATCATCAAATTAATAAATATCACACTGACTCCTCCAAAAATATGAAATAAACGGTTTAAGCAATTATTAAGCGAAGTACATGATTTTCTTTCTAACCCAGAAGTTATTGTCAATGATACAAACTTAATAAATGATAATTTAGCAGAAGTGAAATATGAGCGTGGGGAACAAGTGTCACTGTAGATAGAAAAGTGAAGAGTGAACGTTTATCGCTGCTTTCACAACCGCTACCGCTAGACTGAAGTTATATGATTTGCTAGATAAGTTACCTGACCGTGTCCTTTACTATACTACCGATTCTTTCGTTTTTGTTACTAACACAACCAGGAAGAATGGCAACCTCCAATTGCTGATAATTTGGGTGAACTAACAATGAGATAGGGCCTAAAGCTAGAAAATTTATTACGTGCTATGTGTCTGGTTGTCCTAAAAATCACGCCTATAAACTTGACTTGGGAAAGACGGTTTGTAAAGCAAAGGGATGCACTTTACATTTCCAAAATTCAACAAAGATAAATTTCGAAATGGTTAGCAGTATGGTTGGGGTATTGGGCCAGAAAAAAATACGACATCTGAGTATAATAGAATAACTAGGAAAACCAAATCGAGAAAAACTGTAAATCAATCCACGACTAAAGAATATAGGGTTGTATATGGTAGGAGAATTATTATTGACGATTATAAAACTGTATCGTATGGATATGTTTGGTAATATTATTAAACGTTTTTCTCTATGAAGTATTGTAAGCATCTATGTTGATAAAAAATATTGTACTTGACGAAAATTAAAACTATAAAGCGTTTGTGTACTGAGGCTCATTGATTTTCATTCTTGATATGTTACCTTTTGTACCTAAATTACCTAAATTTATATTTTAAATGTCTACGTGTAGATTCGAACAGGGCTTCAGCATGGAATTATCGAAGACGACCATACACGCTGTCTCCCTCTTGATGAGGTTACAATAGCTGAAAAGATGAAAGAAGCAAATTATACAACCCACATGGTGGGAAAATGGCACCTTGGCTTCTACGAAGACGGTTGTATACCAACTAACAGAGGGTTCGATACATTCTTAGGTAAGGAAAATTATTATTACTCTAAAAAAAGAAAATTAAAAAATAAATAAAAAATTTAATTTATCTTAGGTTAAAGGAAAATTATTATTACTCTAAAAAAAAAATAAACGCCTTCGGCCACCGTTTGTGGGGCTTTGAGTAGCATAAATAAATATTGCTAACTATATCTCAATAAATATTTTTTAATTCATTTATTGTGCTATTACTGGCATCTCTGAATACATAATTATGTAATATTTCATCATTTCAAGAAGCAATGAGTACCTCAATATCTCAACATAATATTGTATTTTTATTATTTACATTATTTATTTACACAAGCGATTACTATTCCAGCACCAGAAATTGGTTCAGGGTGGTCTAAGAATCATTTTCGGCTTGGTAATGGTAACATATTTTCAAAATGTGGCGAAAGGTCAGGGTCAAATGTCAAAGCTATAAGGTCCTTGTATCCCTGTAACCATAGGTGGTAGAGAGTTCAATTTGGTGCCAAATTGTTTGGAATATGCATATTTCTATTTGCTCTAATAGAACATTTTGTACCACCAGTGGTTGTGGAAATATAAAGACAATATGGCTATGACCTTGAAGCATCTTAAAGGTCAGAAACGGCGTTTCCGGTCATTATTTTTAGCAAAATATTCTATTAGAGCAAATAGAAATATGTATGTTCCGAACAATTTGGCACTAAATTCAACTCTCTACCACCTGTGGTTGAGGAGATACAAGGACCCTATAGCTTTGACCTTTAACCTTTTGACCTTTTGCCACATATTGAAAATATGTTACCAAGCCAAAAATGGTTCTTGGACCACCCTGAACAAATTTCTGAAGTCAAATTCTCTGCACCTCAATGTGCATACAAAACCTGGTCTGCTGGCTTCTAGGGTATACTGTATTCGTATTTTCATGGAACTGGTATTTTCAACAGTTTGATGTGTGTGTCTCGCTCGCGGAGAACCAGGCAGCTGAACAAAAGCCTAATGCGCATGCATAGAAAGGCAATAACGTAAGAAATAATGGTACCGAGCTTATCTTTTCATAGTTTATTCCGATAAATAGGCCTATACCCCTCTCTTATCTTGTCGGAAAAAATGATTGATCAAAGGGCAATTCTACGTTGTATGTCCTTCTTATTAATAGGTCCATGGTATCTATGGTCTGATGTATAGAGCATAAACACAATAACGATATAAATGTTGTAAGAACTGATAGATTATACTCTACATTGGTATATTTCTACTAATGTAATAAGCCTAAATATAGATAAATAATAATAACAGTAATACTCGAATCTCTATGAAATGTTTTCTGGCGTAATTCGAACCTGCCACTTCTTGCTATCAAGGCGAGTATCATATCATCATAGAGAAAATAGAAAAATAGAACAAAATATGTCTTTATTGTGTTTATGCTCTATACAGGCCTATATGAAGTATGCATAAATATATATTCAGACTTACCTTATCTATCTAATAATTACCCATAGCATATATCTAATGGTACAGTCTTACGCCTGCTATTTTTTGTAATTGATGAAGCAGAAAGTCAACTGAGATCATCGGATTGTCAGGGCTTTGGAGCCAAAAGGCCGCAGTATAATTACAAATATAATAAATATAAAAAAAGTAAAATGTATTTAAAAAAAAAGTGAGCTAGCATTTGACAGAAAGCTACATAATCTATAATGCAAAGCATTCACCAGTGTGGTTCAGTTGTCCATGTCTGTTGGGAAGGCCTGATATAAATATCTACAGAGGTGTATTATATTTTGTTTGTGTTTTTAATGTATGTTACCTAACTCTGTATTTATAGAAATTAATGTCTATTTTATTTATCTTCCATGCTGTTCTATAAAAAAAAAATACATATTTCCTTATTTTTCTTTTCATTTTCTTTAACAATTAAAATTTAATTTAAATTAATTAATTAATTAATTTAATTTAACTTAATTTTAAATCGAGAAAAAACAGTTATGTCCCTTGGAATCCGTGTAAATGAACATTTATGTGGCCCCCATATAAATTATATTTTAAATGAAATCACTAGATCAAGTGGTATTATCTACAAAGTTCAATATACAGTAGAACCACTCCTTTGGGATACCCCTATTCAGGGGACACTCCTATTAAGGGGACACTTTTCCATGAAACGAGAGGCGATATATATCTGTTAACACTGAGGGGACACCCCATGTGTGCGAAATGGTCAAACAACCCTTATTAAGGAGACACTTATTTTTTTTTAAATTGTCTCACAACAAACACAACAGTCTCAAAATAAGAAAAATTCACTCAACTTTATATATTGACATGATTTTGAGCAACTTTATTAAGGAAATTTTATCACCTTTTAAACTATTATCAGCTTTCTACTACTTTTTGTCAAGGGCGAGCTTTTGTTAGACTACGTAATAATAATAATAATAATAATAATAATAAATTGTCCGTTTTAATGAAATTGTTCTATTATTTTAAAGTTGTTCTAGGCCTACTATTCTACTTCTCTGTTCCAGAGGTTTTTTGAATAAATTAAAATTTAAATTAATTGAAAATGAAATTTGAATTTTCTTCCAAAATCTCAGTGGCCTTAATATCGGTAAGCCATCCTGCATGTGTTACTTCGTATAAACCAATCTTGTCAATTTTGACTCTTAACCATGGGGATTTCTTTGTCTTCGTTTTTCGTGCACTTTCAGCATTCTAGTTCATTCATTAACATTGCATCATGAAACAATATTTGGAACATATAAAATTATTGTTTTTACATTTTTTATTTTTTTATTACATTTCTACTGATTTCATATTCTAAATGAAATGTATTTTCATTGCAAATTATTGCTATGAATTAGTTATAATTCTACTGTCACTAATTATGTTAATAAAAAATACAATTATAAAGGTTTGTATCATCGTTATATGAAACATGCCAAAAAGCTATATTAAAGGGGACAATTTCACGTTTTTGGTTAGTGTCCCTTGAATAGGGGTACCCTATTCAGGAGACACTCCTATTAAGGGGACACTTTTTTTGGTCTTCATAATAGGGGTTCTACTGTATTTTCTTAGGGATATACTTTTACATTTATTCAATGTGCACGTGTTTTGTTTACCACACCTCTAATATTGTAATATAATGTGGGGGAATGAATATTCTACTAACATATAACAACTATATATATTACAAGGCGAATTGCTAGAATGATCACAAAAAATATGTACGATCTAAATAAAGTTGCATGCTTTATGCTCACATATCATCTTCAAGAACTCCCATCCCCAATTGGAAAATTTACTGATTCAAAAACAAACATTACGAAACGCTAACAAGATGTACATCCCACTAGACTAAAAAAAAAATCAATATTTATTGAAGAATTTATTGGAAAAAACTACTGACCACCCTAAAACCAAGTTAAATGACATCACTCCAACATTAACAAGAAATATTAAAAAGATGATATTTGAAACATATTAGATTGTTATTATTTAATATTCAATTTTTATATATATTATTTATTAACTACACAGTAGTTAAATTGTATAATTCAATAGTTTACCTGTTTTCAGGTTATGGTTGGCAGTACCTATAGCCCCATAGTTGGGTCATTTCTGTCGATTCCGCGACCGTGGAGAGGCTAACTTAGTTTTTCAGTGGATTTGTCTTCCTTGTGGGTATAATAACAAAAATAGCTTGGGTGTCCCTCGCAAAAGTGTGGGCATAACCCGTGAGAGCCCTAAATCCAAAATGGCCGCCTTCCGCCATTTTAAAATTTATTATTTCAGTGTTTTGGCTTACATGGCTGCTTTAGTGCATAGATTTAGAGGTTTCAGGAGTCAATGATTTCATTTTTGATGTCGGATTGATGATTTGACCTAGTTTTGATCTTCAAATCCAAGGTGGCCGCCAATTTCTATTTAAAATCTTCATTTTTTTTGGTAAAATCATCATAGTGCCCCTATAAAAGGCTTAATGAAAGCTCAGATCATGCTGAATTGACTGACAGACAATAAAACTACAATTAATTATATAGAGGTCATCTTAGAAGTCAAAGGTCAACATTTGTGGTTGATTTAAAATGAAGTTATTTGTTTTGTTGCTTTATAAAATTCCATTTTACTGTACTGTTTATATCTAGGAATTCATATTTAATGTCTGATTGATTTGGATTTGACCTTCAAATCTAAAAATGCGGCTGATGTCATCACATGTGTCAAATGTCAATATTAATTAATAAAAAGAAGCTTTTTTAGTTACATTGGTTATAAAATTCCTGTGTACTGTACTGTTAATATATTCTGGAATTCACATTTGATGAACCTTTGATTGACCTTCAAATCTAAATTTCTGTTGAGGTCATCTCAGGTGTCAAAGGTCAGCATTTCTGGTTAATGGAATATAAGTTTTTAGCTAGTTACATTGGTTATAACATTCTAGTGTAGTAGTGTACTGTTAATATCCAGTAATTTTTCGTTTGAGGTCCAATTGATTTTAAAGTTTTGACCTTAAAATCCAAGAATTCTGCTAATTTTCAGCTCACGCAGTCAAATGTTCAAGTTCAAGTTCATCTCAGAAGTTAAAAGGTTACAATTGTAATATATTCTAATTCTAATACTAATTTCCTGAATTATCAACTAAAGAAAGTAAGTTATTTCTTAAACAATAGGCTGCTACTCCTCATCCGAGTCTACTGTACACTCATTGCTGTTTCTCAAAATAGTCACTAGTGAGCTGGTGCAGCAAGGGTGGCAGAGTACTGGTGAACAATTCAAGATTTCTTAACCATGACAAATGGAGGACGGATGCTAGTTTAGCAACTTAAAATGGCACTAGCAATATGTGATGCAGTTTGTCCTTGTTCAAATGGTGCAATGTGTCTTCATCAGGTGGAAGGCCGGCTGTACTCTTCTCAGTTTACGCCCCTTGAAACGTAAGGGTACCCTACAAATTGGCCCATACGAGAAAGAGCTGCTTTGCACCCTAAATCCATAAGGATCCGAAAAATTTGGCCTAAATAACCTTATGTGCCCTTTAAAGGATATATTTGGCCCCTTAGGTTTGCATTTGGTTTATTTGGAACCCATATGGGTTTGAACAAATTAATTCATGTGCTATATCTGTTTTTTTCTTCAGAGCTGTACAGGGGCTGAAATGTAACCTAGGTAAAAATTCCAGTTGGAACTAAAACCACATTGGGTGTTGTGTTTTTTCAGCTGGACCCAGTTTCAACTGGTCTTCAATTGGTCACAGCTCCTTCTTCTTGTGTAAAATAATAATGGATTTAATCGACTTCTGTAGACAAAAATACACTGAGTTCAAGATATACAGACCATAATTTCTTTAATTAAAGAACATCAACTGGAGAGGACAAAAGATTTCATCAGCTTTGTCTTCATCCTTTAACTTTCATGCACTCGATTTAGCAGTTTCCTCACCTCAGGAATTATTAATCACCTTCTTCGATTTTTTCTGTACCCAAAATACCCAAATGTGTGGTCATTGCCAGTGCCTACAAAGAAAGGTATGATGGTATTTGTGGTATCTTCAGTAAGCACTGACCATGTCTTTGAATTTGGGAAAAATATTTGGTGTGTATATTGTTATGTGTAGATATGTTGCTACCCATTGATCATGCACATCATCCTTGATAGTTACTGTAGAAAAGAAACACATGTCATGATAAGTTTGATGGGCCATACAAGAGCTTGGCATGAGTTTATAATGGTGCATATTTATTCTTTTCGAGTAGTCACTCCAGTGGCACTCTGAGCCATCCCTCATTTTGCCATATCAACGACTGATAGAGTATGACATTTTCCACAGTGTCCAAGCCCAAAGACATTCAAATGAAGTGAGGTTTATTCTGAAAACAAGGTAAAACTGCAGAAGCTTGAGGGATTAAAATTTGTTAAAAACACAAATTTGGTGACACCGTTTACTGTGGGGTAAGAACCAGAGCACTGGTGTGGCAAGCAAAGAGTATGGATTCAGAGTCAGATACAATACTGCTCTCAGCCTATGCCAATTTATAATAGAGATACACTGAAGAAGTTGTACTAGACAGACGTGTATCCAACGCTTATGTTCCGTTCCAAGTTAGGACGTATCAACTTCTAGGTGATCTACCGATGTGATGCTCTCTGAAGCGAGGGAGCATTTACTGTACGTCAGACTGAGGGTAAAAGTCTGGTGTTAAAGGACAAAGTCAAAGTCAGACATTGTAAAATGAGACTTTTTGACCATTGAGAGCCAAGGTTTGTAACCTGTTACCTTCTGAGATGTACTTAGTGTAGTTTTTACTTGCATAAAATTTGAAAATTTTACACTTGTGAGATGAAAATCAGCAGTATGGATTTGAAGTTCAAATCTAAACTAATCGGACATCAATATGAATTCCTGGATATCTACTATACAGTACACTGGAACTAACTGGAATGTTATAGCCAATGTAAAGTAACTAGCTAAAAGCTTAATTTTCTATTACCTATAAATGCTGACCTTTCGGTACCTTTTTATTTGAAGGTCAAACCTAAATGTACATGAAGTATGAATTATTGAATGTTAACAGCACAGAACACTGGAATTTTATAAAATGGAACTACAATTGACCTTTAACCTCAAACATTGACCTCTGGCGTCCAAAGTGACCTCAGCACCATTTTAGATTTTAAAGTGGAACCTAAATAATTTGGAAATCAAATATGAATTTCTGTATATTAACAATACACTGGAATTTTATTATTTTAATTTTTTTTTTAACTAAAAGCTTCATTTTTTATTAACCCCAATTGTTAACATTTGACCTTAGAGATGACTACTGTATAATTAATTTTAGTTTTACTGTCCATCAGTCAATTCAGCTTGATCAGAGCTTTCATGCAATCCTTTTATAAGGCACTATGACGAATTTAAAAAAAAAGTGGTTTTTGACAAAAAAATTTGAGGCCATCTTGGATTTGAAGGTCAAATATTCGATGCGATATAAAAAATGAAATCCTGGACCCCTAAAACCCCTAAATCCTGCACTAAAGCAGCCGTGTAGGCCAAAACACTGAAATAATAAATTTCAAAACTGCGGAAGGTGGCCATTTTGGATTTAGGGCTCTCATGGGTTATGCCCACACTTTCGCGAGGGACACCCAAGCTATTTTTGTTATTATACCCTCAAGGAAGACAAATCCACTGAAAAACTAAGTTAGCCTCTCCACGGTCACGGAATTGCCAGAAATGACCCAACTACCAGTCCATTCTGCGTAATCAATTTCTTTTTTTCATTCCAATGTAACTGTAAAATTGTGTATGGTTTCAGCTGACAAGCAATCGCCTCTTTTGGAACCTACTGTATGTTTTGCCAATAAAGTTTATATGATATTTATTGAGTTTAATTTTGTGTAAAAGGCTATTTGACCGGCAGTGAAGATTACTACCATCATGACAAAAGCACTGGCTATGACTTCAGACGGAATGACGCTGTTGAATATAACTATAAAGGAATCTACTCAACATTTGTGTATGCTAAAGAAGCCATCGACATCATATCAAAGCATGATCCTGACAAGGTAGGCCTATTTCAATAATATTTTTATGTAATAGTCTTAAAGTTGTTATATACCGCCCTCTTTCTTCCCCACCCCTCATCTGACACTTCCTGTCCCATTACCAGCAGCAACACTGTCTTTCTATCACATGTTTTTGCCGAGTCATAATCTTCCTTATCATCTGAGAAAACTAATCAATAGTTTTCCCTTTTAAATCCATTTATACAGACCCACGAATTAAAGTTTGCTATCAAAGTTTTACAAGTCAAGCGAAGTCTGTATTATTTTAGTGTGCAACAACGCGAATAAACGCCCCCACGGTAGATCGTATCCATCAATTGCAGAATAACAGTAACATACATACACGGAGTTATTGGTCACTATAAAAATTATAACCAGCTGGACGTAGTACTAGTGGCGTAACGACAAGTCATGGGGCACGGGGACGTTAGAATGTTGGGGCACCTTACATAATTTTTAGCAAAATATTTTGCTCACGAAGTCTCACTGGATATACATTTTAAGACTTTATTCAGCACACATTGTTAATTTAATATTTGCGTACAACGTTTAGACCTACGCATTACATGTCATTAGCGTGAATTTACATGCTTTATCATTGACGTATTGATCTAAGCCCCATCGAAGCTTCGCCAATATAAGCATTATCAATCAATCGCTATATATTTTTGGATATTTTTTCCGCTTGCTATTAATCAGCCAAGTTTTGTTGTTTTTTGTTTACTTATTGTCAAGTGCAAAAAAAAAATAGTTTATTTGCGCTATATAAATCCATCTATTATTATTATTATTATTATTATTATTATTATTATTATTATTATTATTATCGTTAATGTTAGTAATATTGTTATATTTTATGGTACTATTAAAAAATAATAATAAAAAATATTAATAATATACTGTGAAAATTTACTTTGCTCATAAATTGACCTACGACTTTTGGATCACTTTTCTTTGTGTCGTATGTAGTCTTGAATATACCATTATAAAGTTGGTTAAGTAACCAAATGGATTGTTTTCATAATATGTAACTTCGATACCACGAATCATGTTGGTCTGATACAGTATACTATAATAAATCCAATCTGAATCAAACGTTCTTTATGGTCCAATCGACGGTACTGTAAGCATTAATCATTAATTTTCACATTGTCTTAACTACCAATGCCTATTTAACAGATTTCGGATTACTCAATTTTTAAATTTTAAGTCTGCATGACTGTCATTTTCGGACATATAATTTACTTTATAAAAAGACTATAGTTACTTGAGCAACCAACCATGGTGGGGCTGAGGTGAGTGTGGACTCTGGCCCATCTGTCAAGGAACAATGGACCACCTGTCAGGGAAAAGCTGGCGGCACCATCACTTGAATTCAGACCCAGATTTGGCATTTTATTTATTCACGTTAACATGTAATAAGCACGCATTATTAACCCTAAATTTAACACCATTAATACGTAGGCCTACTTTTAGCTGCCATGAGGAATTTATTAGTGGTGGCTAGCCATGAATTTTTCGCTGTCTCACATACGATATCTTGCTTCACGATTTATAGTATTTTGAATAATTGTTGCTACGTTTTGTTAAATTTTCTAAGTAGTAATAATATGCATCATTTTTACGACAGCCAATGTTCCTCTACATTTCGCTCCAAGCGGTTCACACACCTCTGCAGGTTCCTTCTGACTACACACTTCCTTACGTAGATACGATCAAGAATAAAAATCGACGGGTGTATGCTGGTATGGTAACGTGTATGGATGAGGCTATAGGTAACATTACTGGCGCAATTAAAGCTAATGGAGATATGTATGACAACACTGTCATCATTTTTTCAAGCGGTAGGTGTTTTCGGTTTTTTAATTCGCTTTACTTATGGTAAAGAGAAATTTAGCGGCCTAGGCCGGCTCTTAGGGGTGACAGCCGCCCAGGGCCCCTAAATTTTTACAAATTATGACAAAAAAATGGGAAAGAGACACATGAACACATCTTTTTACGAGCGACATGTTAAAAGTGTTTAATATATTATAATAATTGCAATGCAGATAATGGTGGCGCTAGACAAAATGAAGGCAACAACTGGCCGCTGCGTGGTTTCAAGAGCACGTACTTTGAAGGCGGTATACGTACTATTGGATTTGTTCACAGTCCACTGCTTAATGACCATGTCAAAGGAACAGTTAGCCATGAACTTATTCACGTCAGTGATTGGCTCCCTACGCTTGTGGAAGGTATAGCCGGTTGGACTACAAAAGGAACCAAGCCTCTCGACGGTGTTAACCAATGGGATACAATAAGGTAAAACAGATATCTCTCCTTGCAAAATGAAATTCTGGTCTGCATCAAATCAGATCTTCACTCCGAGCAAAAGCAATGTTGTTTTGTTTGTTCAAAAATTCGATTATATTTAATAATAAAATATAATATAAATTAAACTACGTGACCGTAACGCAAAATATGTTAATTTCTCGATCCTTTTGGAGGCTAAACCTGATGTCTCTTTTCTTGAACACTCTGGAGTTACATATGTTATAACTTATATCGTATACAATCTTATAATTTATAAGGTATACAATCGCTTTTATTCGTTTCACTCTATTGTGGGTTACAAACAGCGCATTTTTAGTGATTAGTGAAATAATTCAAGTCGGCAATTTAGCCTGATCTTAGACTGACTATAAAAATTTGCCTACGGGGGTATAATTTTAGTCGAGGTGTGCAGGATTGCTAGTGATATTCGAAGTTCATTTTAAGAATACGAAATGACGTAATTTTGAAGTGTTTTTTTTTTTTAGATAGAACTACGACTAAAGTTTGTTTTTAGGATACTGGGCTGGAATCTATCTAATTTCATAAAATAATACATAGTATGCATTGATGTGTTTTTCCTACTATTTATTCCTCCAGAACTGGAATTGCGTCGGCGCGAACAGAAATTCTTCATAATATCGATCCGTTACAGAAACTGACAGATGTCCAAAGGTCTAATTGGAGAGGACATCCGTTTGACGTAAGAATACAAGCCGCTATTAGGTTTGGACACATGAAGCTTATTACAGGAAACAAAGGTAAATAGAAATAATGATTTATTATTTTTATTTTTAATATTATTATTATTATTATTATTATTATTATTATTATTATTATTATTATTATTATTATATCCCGCCAGGAGATATATTTTTTAAGTCAAGTAAGTTTGTGTGTGTGTATGTGTGTCACGTTTTAGTGTTTTCATGTGTGATTTTTTTTTATGTACAACATAATCTCAAAAATGGCTGCACAGACATAATTAAAAATGAAAGGGAGTGTTAGGTATAACCCAATGAAAAACTAATCAATTGATATGAATGAAACTTTCGTGAATATTTAACCAAGTTACAAGAAAGACATTATCAAGTGTTGTTCACGATCGAAATTCGGGGTGAACTTGAGGGTCATTTAAATTTTTAAGGTCGTGCGTGACGTTTCTTGTGTTCAAAATATCTCAGAAAAACAGACACACAGATCTGAAATGGAAGATACAGGGAATGTTACGTATGACACAAGGATGAGGTGATTAAATTTTGGTATTATTATTGTTTTTGTTTTATTTTTATTATATCAGTTCAGTTAGTCATAATGTCAGCCATATTGCATTTCAAAATGGCCGACATGCAAAGCATATAAAATATCAATATCTCAGCATCTGAAACACTAATGATTATTATTATTAATTCTGGTCTTCAATCATTTACTTAATATACCATTTAAAAAATATATATATCTTGATACCATTTAGGATATTTTCAGATGATCACAGGTATTCCATTACAGGTCGTTCAAAGTAATTTTATGTAAAATAGAGTATAAAATATAAATAATAAAATAATTAATTTATTAAATATTATGAAACCCAGGGTCATAGCTTCAGTTTAGTCCAGGAGCCAAAACCCATCTACTTTCTGAAAATGCCCACTTGTTTAGTTAGTATACATGGAAATGCCATTAGAGGTTCTTCGAACTGTCCATGGGACATAAGTTCTAGAATAACAGGTCAGAGATGAGTAAGGTCATTCTGTGTAAAGTTTACTATGACACCATAATCTGGGATATAAACACTATATATATATATAATTTATATATATATAATTTATATAGGCCTATATAATTTATATATATATACTGTGTATATATATACTATATATACTGTGTATATATATACTATATATACTTACGTCGTCGGTCAGGAAGAGTGTCCCCCGCACTTGCAACCGCGAACTGGATCCGACGGGCTGATGAAGGTTGTGATCTGTGTCGGAGCGTCGTTCTTAGTCCTGTCCTTCCTGCCGTTCGTCTTCCTCGAATGGACGTTCGGCGCGAACAGGATGGCCGACGTCGCGGCGAACGTGCTCCGTTATCACTTCGACAGCGTCCTCTCGGAAATCAGACTTGCGCCTCCCGACTTCGAGACGTACGTGCGAGTGCTTGGCTACCGGGGCAAGGTGTCCGGGACGAAGTTGCCGCGCCAGTCGGTCGAGCGCGAGATGTTCTGGAGAAGGGTGCTCACGTGCCAGCTGTCCGCCATGTACTTGGAATGGGCGTACTCTGAGCCTGTCTCTTATACACATCTAGATGTGTATAAGAGACAGCTCATTCAGAGCCTAGCACCTGATGATTGAGGAAGTACCTCATGAAACAGCCTGTAGTGCAATAAAATGTTGAATTTGTAACCAAGCGTCATCTTGTTTTGATTTTATATATATATATATATATATATTAAATGCAACTGAATTTCTTGTTGAAATTTGATATTTTGAAGATGTTTTTACTTCTTGTTTTAAAATACTGAAAGGAGAGTTATTTCACTAATCTCTCAGAATTTGACCAATTAAATGACCATGACAGGACAACAAAAAAGGTAGACTGAAACTATTTACTATTTTTTGAAAGTTCATCCTGTTAAGGTCCTGGAACTGCCCATATGGCTAGACTAACAGGTCAGAGGTCAATAAAGGTCATCCAATTGTCTATCCAACATATTGTTTATGTTTATGTTTTAGGTATATTTTTTTGGTCACTTTGATACTTCGTTCAAAGTTTTTACTTGCTTAAAAATAATGAATGAACAGATATTGCACTATTTTATCTCATGATCTGACTCCATGATCTGCCCAAATAAATGAATATGACAGGACAACAAAAAGAAAGACTAAAACCATTTAATATTTTTGTAACGGTCAGGGGTCTTGAAACTGACTGTCTCATAGGACATAAACGCTACTGACCATATGGCCATTAGTTATAATTCCATGCATTTTGGCAGTGACGTTTGGTTAATTCTAGAATATTAGGTAGGACAAATAATTACAAATGTTTTTATTGTTTAATTTAACACATGAGATAACAAAATTTCAGTAATCACAGCCCAGTTGCACGTTCCATTAGAATGCAAATTAGTTAAATATGCAAATTAGTGTGGAAATGTAGAGTACTTATATTTTGGCACCTGAGGATTGGTTTCTTTTTCAAATTTTGCAGAATTTGCCACAAGTAACATTTGTTCTGAAAGACCCAAAAATGTCTTATTTATATTTTACCTTTTATTATGTTATTTCTTTTGGTATATGCAGTTTTTCAGTTTACCAGATGTTGCCATCTTGTTGATGAAAATGGCCTCAATATATACGTATTTTAATGGATTTTTATTCAAGTTTATAAGAAGGTATTTTAAAATACAAAATTCAAAAAATCCAATTCTGGTTAACGGTATAGGACTAATTTATATGTGTGGAATATTAGATTTAGCTTCATGGTTTAATTCCGTGAACAACAGATTCTTAGTAGGATCCTCAGCTGAGTGTCACCTATCACAAAAAGTTCCTGTCCAATCATCTCAGTACGTCCCGAGTGTTGGACCAGCGGCACTAATAAGTGCTATATCTTGCTTGTAAATTTAAACATACACAACTGCTCTTCTGCATACATACCTACACACACCCACCCACACACCCACACACACACACACGCACACCCGCAAACACGCGCGCACACGCACACACACACCCACATACATACATACATACATATACATATATATATATATTGAAAATGTAGGACTTGTAGAACTGGGTATTATCACTCTACAGACTGTTTCGTGCTAATGCAATCTTCAGGAGTAAGAGAATACAAGGATTGTGTGAGTATATGAATGCTAAGACAGATGAAAATGCAAATGAGTTAAATGTTTTTTAAGTAGTTATTTGTTGTTGTGCCTGCATTTAGACAATAGCTCGGTTCTTTTGTTTAGTATTGACTGTTTGTCTGAATATATTATGGATATATATTTATGGATCAATAATATCCTCTTTTTTGT